CGTAGCTCCAAGCTCCCGGTCGGGCGGGCTGGACCTCATCTTCCCCGTCCCACTGGTGACCTGCCATACGCGCGGTGCTGTGGCTTGCTTTTCTCCGGCGGTGTCGATCGTCGACAGGAGGAGAACGTGCCGAGCCCCCAAGCATCACTGATCATCACAAGCTTACATTTTGACGGCAGAGGGCAGTTGGGTATCCATATATATTTCTCTGCTGACAGGTCGTTTGTACTCATGCAATGATGAGAGAGAGTGAAAAAAAGAAATGTACACGTCTCTCCTAGTCCCTGACATCTGGAGAAGACAACTGAATAAACATGCGCCTGCTGCGAAAGGTAGGGGAGGGGAAAGACCCTCCAACATTCGTTCGTGAAAACCAGAACACCGAGACAATGCCCAAAACTGCCTGCCTCTACGCACGCGTGAAACCAAACAACGCACCTCTCCAACAGGGCATCCGACTTGCAAAAATAGGGAGATCAACCGGAATAAATCTAGTCCGTCTTGACCTCGTCTATGTGCCCGGCAAAGGTCGGCCGCGGCAACCTCGGAAACCCGCTCTAAAAGCCCCTCGGACTCACCACCGCCGGCGACAGCAGCCTGCCAGCGCCGCACCAGCAGTTTGTCTCACCCTCCCGCTCGACCTGCACGACAATGTCGATATTGTGCGCCAGCAGGTGTTCCCTGACGCGGTCGCGCACATCGTCGATGGCCGCCCCGCGCGCCGCCTGCACGTGCACGATGCCGCGCAGCTTCTCGCCGGCGCCGCCCTGGGCTGTGAGGATGTCGTCGATCCAGAACTTGGGCACGCTGTAGCTCACGACGCCACGCTGCTGCGTGATACCTGCGAGCGTGTTGCGCAGGCTGTACTCGACGCGATCAGGGATGCTAAGGAGCAGGTTGCGCGCCGACGAGGTGAGAAGCGGCCAGGCTGCCAGCACAATGAGCACCGAGACGACAATACCCGCCACGGCGTCCCACCAGGTATAGCCCGTGTACATGGTCAGAATGGTTGAGATGGTCACGGCCACGCTGCCCATGAGGTCGGCAAGAACGTGGAGGAAGATACCGTGCATGTTCTCGTTGTGGTGGCCATGGTCGTGGTCGTGGCTGTGATCGTGGCTGTGGTCATGGTCGTGGTGGTCGTCCGTTTTCTTGCTGCTGGGGCAAGAGCCTCCGCCATGCGAGTGTCCGTGATCGTGGCCGTGATGGTGGTGGTGACCGAAAGCCACGAGTCCCACGACGTTAACGAGGCCGCCGAGCACGCTGATAGTGAGTAGCTCGGACAGCCTCTTTGGTGGCGTCCCCTCCATCATGCGCTCAAACGCCTCCCCGATTATCTCGACGCTGAGAAGCCTGCATAATGCGCGTCAGCATGATTAGACTTTCAGGCTGCACACGCGCCGGTACCATAAACTCACACTAGGAGAATTCCGTTGGCGAAACCGCTCAACGTCTCGACTTTGCCCAGGCCATAGGGGAACCGCTCGCTCGGTGGCCACTTGCTCATAACAGCGGCGCAGAGCCCGACTAACAAAGCGAAACAGTCGAAGAACATGTGGACTGTATCGCTCAGTAGGCCGAGTGAGCTCGTGGCATAGGCGTAAAAGGCCTGGACGCCCATGAAGGAGAAGTTGAGGCTGTGGATCAATGGGGTCAGTGCATGTTACAGACGACGGCGGGTGGCAGCAGTGGGCTGTACGTACGACAGAAAGTAGAAGATGCGCCGCGAGTCCTTCTCGACCAGAATCGAATGAAGGAAGGGGAAGCTTGGCGTGACGCGCAACAAGAGCTTGGAGAAGAAAGATGGGTTCGAATGACCGTGGCCATGGCTGTGGCCGTGTCCATGACCATGTGCATGATCATGGGAATGTCCGTGGCTGTGATTATGGTCGTGTCCATGATCATGGTCGTGATCGTGGCCGTGGTACTCGGTCGTCTTCTCCCCAAACGAGTCAACCTTGGGGGTTATAATCTCCCGGCCGCCAGGCGTTCTCTCGGTCTGCCAGCCTTCTACCTGTGATAGCGGTGTCGGCGGCACCTTCTCGCGCAGGTGGATCGAGCTCGTCGAGTTTGGTCGGTGGGACGTGTGGCCGCCAATGACACGCGCCGAGTTGTGGCTGTGGTTCGGCCCATGGTCGTGGGAGTGTGAGCAGGTGCTCGAGTGGGTGTGGGAGTGTATTTCGGGACGGGATTGAGGGTAGGATTCAGGCTTGTCGTGGGAGCCGGATCGATTGTGGGTGAGATGGGTGTAGGATGCGTGGTCATGGTCGTAATCGTGATCGTGGTTGTGTTGGTGTTGGTGGTCGTGCTGGTGATCGTGCGCGTGCCCAACACCCAAGCTCTGGCTGTGTGCGTGCAGCCCATTGCCAGTCATGGTGGACTTGAGGGTCTGGAGAGAGGGTGGGGAGTGCGAGTGGGAATGCATGTGTTGGCGGTGCGCGTGTGGCAGTGCGGACGAGGGCAGAGCATACGAAGATGCCATGTCGTACTGGGTGGGAGATGGATGTTTGTGGTGATACTGCGATGGTTCCGGAAGAGGCTAGCAAAGACTTTTTCTCGTTTGAACAGATCGGTTGTGGTCGTGGATCAGTTCGGGGACCAGAGGACTGGTCGAAGCTCAGAGACGGGTTCCAACAGGGCTCGAGTCGTGGCAATGGTG